CACACACACACACACACACACACACACACACACACACACACACACACCTCCCTGCCTAAGGTGGAAGACATGACGTGACAAACTCCCCCCCCTTCCCAATCCACCCTACATTTCTGCATGCGTGCAGACAGGGGGCCAGAGTCGGTTACCATGGCAACTGCTGCTTCTATCAACATTTCTGGCCGATGCTACAGAGGTACGCGGTTCAGTGGAAAGGCAGGAGAAGGGAAGGCCTTGGCGTTCTGTTTGTTTGTTTGCCTTATCATTTTGCCGAGGTTTGCTTATCTGAGATGACTCCCACAATTTAAGCAGGCGAGACTCTCAGCCTCTCTGTGACTACAGGGAAATTAAGCGTGGTTCCCTTTTAACCTCTACCCTCCCCACCTCCCCATCAGGCTTTATTTTGGTTTTCCTCATCATAAATTCTTTCTGTCTTTGTTGACTCCTGTTCATTGTCTCCCCGTGTTTGTCTCTGATCTCGAGGCTTGAACAGTTCTGGGCAAATTCCACCAACGGTGCCTTGTTTCTGTCTGTTGTCATAACACGCAGGGCAGGTACGACGGGAGCGAGAGATAAAACAGATGGTAGGATAAGTAAGAGGAAAGGGTGAGAGGTTAAGGAGAGCAGAAAGGCTTGATGAGTGAGGCAGAGGGAAAAATGACTGTGTGTGTGTATCAGACAGGGGCGTACAGTAGTAGTAGGGCAGCTTACCCCCACTGGCAATGAAGCTGCTGCATTACTAGGTCAGTGTGCCATCATCTCATTCATCATTATCACAACCTGCTCTTCCTCCTCCGCTCTGCCTCTTCATCCCTCCCACATTATGGTTCGATTGTTCTCCTCGTCCAAGCTTCAGAGACAAAAGGAAAATCAGCCTAAACAGGTTGATCATTTCAGAGTCTGTAATTAATTTTTTTATTAATAAGTAATTTACAAAAGCAGGACGTACAATTGATTCTCCATAAAGAATACGTTTTGGTTTATAAGATAGCAGATATTCACATTTATGCTGAAGCTGGCTAACTTCAAAGAGATGTCCACATAGGAAGCATGTGCATTGCTTCGTCACTGACAGTTGGTTGCTAGCGAATAATCCAGGCTCCGGTTGCCAAGTTTACCCTCTGGTGTTTTTGCCTCCCTGTCATGTGTCAATCAGCATGAGCTCTTATTGGTAGTGTTGGGAAGGTTACTTTTAAAATGTATTCCATTACAGAATACAGAATACATGCCCCCAAAATGTATTCTGTAACGTATTCCGTTAC